CACATGCCCAAACCCTCTCAACCCTGCCTCTCTAACATTGTCTCCACAAAGGCAATGATGTTCAAGCCCACTCTTTAGAACTCAGCCTTGCAAAGGTGAGCTGGTGGAAATAAATGCTATACTATTTCACAATTTAACAAGCTGCATATTTTCTTTGTTACTGTTAAAGTTAAGGATGATTCTTCCACAATGACACCCAGATGCTAGAGACTGTAAGACGAATGCATTTGTATCAATAACTGTTTTCTACAGTCACTGATTTGTACCTACTAGAAAATGAACTGATAGAAAACTTACTTATTTGGAAATACTTTTTGTATGCCCAAATATATTAAGATCAGTGAGATTGCTCCAACAATTGCAACTGTATATTGACTGACAACAATATATTTAAAACCACAAATATTTTTATTCACAAAATAGCATTGGTGCCCCCTCCCCCAAAATAAATAAATAAATAAAAATAACAAAATACATTTGCGAATACATTTACCCTTTAAAATATTAAAACTGAAAAACTGAAAACTATTAATCCTGAAAAATGTTATCTTACCACTGAAAAGTATTAACATTCAATTTTTGTGTAAAATCTGTGAAATTTGAACGAGTTTTATTTGTAACATGGATTCATTCTTTCTAAAGAAAGCCCTCCGTCCGGTACTGTGTTGATTCACTAGAGGGCACTAATCCAAGGCAGCGGATAGTATGGGAACAACTTGCGAGAGGAGGCCATTCACTAGCCTGTTTTAGCTACACACACCTAGCTACTCTTAGCTAGCCGGCGGCTAACCAGCGAGCTAAAACATCAGTTTGTCTTAATGTCGCCTGTCTTACCAAGTGATGGCAAGAGAACAGTGTTCACAAATCGAAGCTGGTGAGTACTGACCGCTGCTTTAATTCGCGACTAAATATTTTGCATTTACGCTGTTTCCAGTTGTTTGCCAGGTAGCGAGCTAATTAACCGAGCGCAGCCCGGAGCTGGCTAACGCTAGCGCTGCTCAATAGCTACATCAGTTAGTACCAAGCTCATTTACTGTTTTTCTTTTCAGAACTCTATTACCTCATTGCCAGATTTCTGCTGTCTGGACCATGTAAAAAAGCCGCAAAGGTAATAACCTACGATGAACAAAATAGCAAGTCGTACTGGTTAAAATCGTCTAAATAAGTAGGTTTGTTAGCATCCGTAGCTAACTGTGTCTCTGTGTTGTTAGATCCTGATCGAGGAGCTGGAGGAGTATGAGGTAGGTTCAGCTGAACCTTTCTGAGTTTATTCTCATGTGCGGTTTCCGTAGTGATGCCCATCTTGACGCTTTTTGGGGCCAGCTTTTTAGTAGTTTTGATCGATGCTAGATAAAGGAGCGCGATTCCCTGCCGGGACGAGCCTCGCAATTTTGTGTCCTCTCTGATATCGTCTCTTTTAACTTTAGTTGGTCCCGCAACGATGGAGTTGGGACGGGAAGAAATACAAACGGAACTTCCAAGATTGGGTGAGTGTGAATAGTCATTAATAACTTTTTAATAATATGGATCTTTTTATTCCGCTTTCGGTTGACAATAACCTTTCCATGGATGTGAACGTTTTAATTATTTTAACCAACCAAAACGGTGTGTTTTCAGCATGTTTGTATTTATTTTAACCTATTTAAGAATCCATATTAGTGCAGGCCTGTTGATAAATAACTATATACAGGCTATGCTATTGTGTGGGCTAGTGGGCGGAGAATGAAGATAAGAGCCGATAGTGATAGGCTGAACTAGATCCAGCGCTGTGTCAGTCTTCTTTTGGAGCCAATGATATCGCAGTTGCGTTGGCGAGCGAACCGGAAGAATAGCAAGAAGCTCTTTTGATTCGCTGATTCCCTGCAAGCTTTTCTCTCCCTCCTCTTTCTCTACCTCTCCCCCCCCCGGTTCCCTTGATTGTTTTTCAACTATCTGCATGACAAAACCATGTACACATTATAATATCAGGCAGCAATAAACAGGAAGAGGAAAATGAAACAGTTGCAGGCTACTTATGTGTGATTGCAGAGCTGTTTGGATTGGATCTTTCTTGCATGTATTGAAAATGAGTCAGTTAATGTTATAATCAACTTAAATTACAGGAAGTGAGACTCGTGTTTTGTTTTTTCTCATTTGAAGTGGTAACCAGCATGCACAACATTTTGTTTCACCATGTTCTGTTGTTGGTTATTAAAAAATAGTAGTTTCTTCAGTGATCAGTTAGCTGATCAATTCAGTTCAGTTGGTTTTTCAGGATTATGCCATTGTCTAGAGTCATTTAAATTAACTTTATTGTGTTGTTTTGTTATTTGTTGTATTAATATGTAATTACCATCACTGACGTGTGCAGGTGGTGTTGAACCAGCACATTCCTGCAGACTATTTGCTCAGGATTTGCCAGCGGATAGGCCCACTTATAGAAAAGGAGATCCCACCTAGTGTTCCTGGAGTCCAGACACTTCTGGGGCTGGGAAGACAGTCCTTGCTTCGCACCAGCAAAAGTGAGCATATTTCTGTTTTTCTATGATTTTTTAAATGTATTTATTTTGTGCTTTTCATTAGTACCTACTCGGATCAACTCACCACAGCTTTCAGGATTTTCCATTAGGTCCTAGTACCTGGTACCAGTTACTAAAATAGTACCTACCTGGCCAGGGTTCCAAACGATCTGGGCAGGTACTAAAGTGTGCCGTCATCAGACTGCATGCCACCAATTGGTAGGTTATTGACGTCACCCAAAGAGTCATGAGAGTGTCTTGTTTGTGAAAATCTAAATCGCCAATTTTGAAACCCGGCAACGAGGGAAATGGTAACTAAAACAATGCTGTGGTCCCCAAGTCTGATGAAAAGCCACAGATTGAGTAGCAGCTATATTGTTGCCTTGATGCCCACCTTTGTGTTCCTGTAATAGCTACTACACACATGAGGTGGTACTCGATTGTAATGGAAAACCAGTCAATCTGAGGCGAGTCGATCGGAGTAGGTACTAATGGTAAAGGGGCTATAGTGCAGTATTTTTGGCATTCATTCTTCAACTCACTGTTTTTAACATAGGTTGTAGCCACAAGGTATGTAGTGGCTCAGCTGTCGCTGCACTCCACCGAGGACGTCCACCAGAACCTCCAGTGAGCAATGGAAGTTCTCCTAATGTTGGTGTGTAAACTGTTTTTTAAATACATTTTTACAACAATATATCATTTATGCCTTTTATTTCCACTAAGCACTTAGACCCCTGGTATTAAGTTGTCAGTGGCAGTGTGTTGCTTCTACTAATTATTCGTATGTGTTTCACATCAAGTGTCCATCATGGGTGCTCGCCAGGCCACAGGCACAGGTCGTTTTGGCCAGGTTCTGCCGTCTTCCTCCTACCAACACATGAAAATACACAAACGTATCCTTGGCCACCTTTCTTCAGTCTACTGTGTGGCCTTTGACCGTACCGGTCGTCGAATATTTACGGTGAGTAAGAATTTCTTATTATTTCATCATCCCTGTCTATTTTATTTTAGCGATTGTTCTTCCAGTTGTCGTGCCAGATCTAAGATAACTACTGATCTCTTCCAAAACACAACATGGAGCTTCAGCCAAAGGTGGTTTCCAGTGGAGCTGTCTTATTAATGTGTCGCTGTCGGATTGGTTTTTAGGGTTCTGATGATTGCCTGGTAAAAATCTGGGCCACAGATGATGGCCGGCTCCTGGCCACACTCCGCGGCCACTCAGCAGAGATCTGTGACATGGCTGTCAACCACGAGAACAGCCTCATTGCTTCTGCCAGCTGTGACAAAGTCATCAGAGTGTGGTGCTTACGCACCTGTGCGCCCATCACTGTGCTGCAGGCTCATGCTGCGTCTATCACATCCATACAGGTGATACTTAAAAGAAAGTGCAGAGCCCTTTTACAACATTTGAAGTATCAAATAAAACTAAAAACTTGACTACATCATACAGGAATTAAATGTTTCAAAGCAAATTCATCTACTTAATGCTTTCATCTTATCTTGAGCACTTGACCTGGGCCTGCTGCTGGCTTGTTATGTGAAATGCTGCACAGTCCTTCCCTGTGACTAACCAACACCAACTTTCCTTCTCTCCCTCCTCCAGTTTTGTCCAGCAGCCAGAGGAACAACTCGGTACCTGGCATCAACTGGTGCAGACGGCATGGTGTGTTTCTGGAAGTGGCACTCGCTCACCATGAAATTTAAGTAAGTATTGAGGCGTCTAATGTGCCATGCTTAGTGGTTGCTTGGTGGTTTTCATTAAGATAACCACAGGTTCTGTTTTTTGTTTTCCCTTTCTTTCAGTGATCAGCCAGTCAAGTTTATGGAGCGTTCACGGCCCGGGGTGCAAGTCTCCACTTCATCTTTCAGCAGTGGTAAGTGTATCTCCATGCCAGGCAACAATTTGTTGTTACATGATCTCAGCTGCTGTGATTAGCAGAGCAAACACAGATCAGTTAATAACTGCACTTATTTTTTTTTAATTTTTACTTTTGTGACTCCTGTTGAAAATCAATTCCATCTCCTATTTTAGGTAAACTTTTGTTGCTTTTAAGATATTAACTTAATATCCATGCATCCGTGGAAGGCCAAACTTCCACAGATGCATATAAGAGAATCTCATTTGAGTGATGGAATAAATGCTGCCCGCAGTTTAAAAAAATAGGGTAGTGTGTTTGCAAAATGAAAAGCATTTCATCATTTGAAATGGTTAAAAGTTAACTAATATACAGTATGGCAGAACACTGTGAGGGTCATTGTTGTAGACTGAATGTGTTCTTCTGTTAATAGGTGGCATGTTCATGGCTACTGGAGGCACTGATCATATGATCAGGGTCTACTATCTTGGTGCTGAGTCTCCTATGAAGGTTTCTGAGATGGATGCTCACACGGTAAGAAACAGCATCTAGTCGCTACATCCTGCTTGGTCCGCTCTGTTGTGTTTTTTAAGCTTCGTTCACACAACTTGTATTCTTTCCTACTTTTTGTGCTTTTAGGATAAAGTCGTGGTCGTCCAGTTCAGCAATAACAGTGACAGGTGAGTGTGCTTGCTCAAATCTGCAGGGACTTCAAATATTTTTTGTGTGTTTTACAAGTGTGTGAAGAATAACTGTGTATGTGTGTCCAGCCTAAGGTTCGTGAGCGGCAGTCGCGACGGTACAGTGAAGATTTGGCATTACCAGCAGCAGGAGTGGAAGAGCACCACTTTAGACATGGCTGCAAGGCTTCCAGGGTAAGAGAGGGAAGACTCGTAGTGTTTAGTGATGGCACTTCTGCCGCTATCATATTTCACGTCCGATGGGATGTTCTTTTTAGGAGCACTGCCGCCACAGGGGACGACAAAGCTAAGCTGGTGGTGACTATGGTTGCCTGGGACCGCACTGACAGCACCGTAATCACAGCGGTGTCAAACTACCTGCTCAAAGTATGGAGCACATCCACAGGACAGCTGCTGCACATTTTGTCTGTGAGTAGCTGAAGCCGACATTATCTGCAGCTCATTCGGTGTAAAATGGCAAATTGGCCTACTTAATTGTCTGTGCTGTCTCTCTGTTCAAGGGTCATGACGACGAGGTGTTTGTGCTGGAGGCTCATCCATTTGACTCCCGCATCATGTTATCTGCCGGCCACGATGGCAACATTTACATCTGGGACCTAACCAAAGGAGTCAAGATCCGCAATTTCTTCAACATGGTAACCGATCCTCAGCGAGCATCACCTACCAGCAATGCTTTGTTTTTCACCAGCTTTAAGTTCAATTTTAAATGTTTGTTTGCAGATTGAGGGCCAAGGCCACGGTGCTATTTTTGACTGCAAGTTCTCAGCAGATGGGCAGCATTTTGCCTGCACTGACTCACACGGCCATTTGCTCATCTTTGGTTTTGGCTGCAGCAGACCATATGAAAAGGTAACTGCTAGCTGAGTCTTGTTTGCCCAAAACAATCACCCCTATCATTTCCTCACTTTTAAAGGAACATTTAGAATAAATATTTGGACAGCACAGTGGATTTGTGATTACACATTTTGTTCTTTAATCATAAGAATCGGTGTCACCCTGTGGCGGCGCGCTGTTCTTGTTCCCCTCCAGATTCCCGACCAGATGTTCTTCCACACGGACTATCGTCCTCTTATCCGTGACTCTAATAACTACGTCCTGGATGAGCAGACGCAACAGGCGCCACACCTCATGCCTCCACCCTTCCTTGTGGATGTCGACGGGAATCCTCATCCTCCTCACTACCAGCGCCTGGTGCCTGGACGGGAGAACTGCAAGGAAGAGCAGCTAATACCTCAGATGGGATACATGGCTAACAGTAAGCACAGATTCACAGGTGAAAATTCAGAAGAAGTGACAGATGGTATTTGATGCTTGATTTCTCCTTGCTTTACTTAGATGATGGAGAGTTGGTTGAGCAGGTTCTTGGCCAGCAAACGGCAGAAAATGGAGAAAGCCCGTTGGACAATCTCATCAGACAGCTGCAGAATGAACAAGATGAGCGTCAGAATGCAGAGCGGGAGGCAGAAGGGGAAGAAGGTGTGTTTGTTTTTTTTTTTTACTCAAAATGATCGAAGTTTTTCCCAAAACTTTAAGTGTCTTTTGTCCTGTGTCCCACCCCTCTCCCAGAACCAGCCACGGTAGACCCTCCCTTCTGCTGAAGGTTTCTTCCTGTTAAAAGGGAGTTTTTATTTTCCCACTGTTTGCCAAGTGGTCGCCTGATTTTTGGGGGGTTTCTCTCCCATATTGCAGGTGCTTTACTAGTGGTGCAACGGATCACGGTTGATCCGAAATCCTAACCGATCCCACTCCACGGTTCGGTACGCACGTGATCCGAAGATTTGTATGTGTATGGTGCGCGTGGTCAGTCTGTCAAGCGGTAGTTATGGCCAGCGCTAGCGGTCCAAGTGGCGGAGCAGAGGAGTTTGCGGTATTTAAGCAGCCCTTTGCTGCCCAATCCGACCGGGCTAAAGATATTACAAAAGCTACTGGGGTGTTTAGCTGCAGACGGGAGGCCGTATTCCGTTGTGCAAAACAAGGGGTTTAATGAACGTGCTTGAGCCACGCTATGATATCTCGTTGCGCGTCCACTTCAGTGTGACAAGATCGTTCCAAGCATGTATGAGCATGAAAAGTTTAAAGTTATGGCTGAACTGTCCCAGGCATCTTCTGTTGCTCTAACTACAAATGGGTGGACCTCCAGGGCAACGGAAAGCCACGTGACCGTGACCGCTCGTTATATCACAGCAGAGTGGTAGATACAAAGCCCTGTACTGCCCTATAGATTACATTAGATTAGATGACACTTTATTTTTCCCTCGGATGGGTTCCTCCGGGAAATTCAGTTTCCAGTAGCACAGCACCGACAGAAGTTGCAGAATGTGAGCAGAAATATACCATATATACACATATATAAATACAGAGAATACAAAAGGGATAAATAGAATAAATAGGAATAAGAATACAAGGGAACGGCACATTTCAAGTATTGTGAGTCTATTACACCGTTGGATATGAACAAAAACTATTGCACAGTGAAAAGGCACTACAGCTTACTTGTTCCCCCCTCCTTTGTCCCCGCTTCCCCTCCAGCGAGGAGTTAAACAGTTTGATGGCGTGTGGGACACTGAACAGACTCCTCTCGTTGTTTATGGCCGTGTGCAGAGGATGCAGAGGATGCCCAGCATGGTCCATAATGTCCATATTGCACCTTAATTTGTTTTTATATAAGTGCGTGGAATGAGTCTTCAGTTGAATGTTTTTTAATAGGCTAAAAATACTTAAATAAGTAAATGGTGAGTCGAATTTTTGTCTTTTTTTTTTCCTATTTTTGCTAATCCGAAAATTGATCCAATCCGTGACTTAAAACCGTGATCCGATCTGAATCGTGAGATTTTTGATCCCTTGCACCACTAGGCTTTACCGTACAATATAAAGCGCTTTGAGGCGACGCTTCGTTTTATTTGGTGCTATATAAATACACTTAAATTAAATCGAAGAAAACATTTTTGGCTCTTTCTCAGTGGCTGAGGTTATACTTGTGAAATTCTACTGTTTTTGCAAAACTCTGAACATAAAAATTTCTTGTCAAGTTTTTCCAAAAGTGGAGTTTGTCCAAAGTAACCTGTAATTATATTTAAAAGAAAAAAAAATATAATCTTGTTTTCAGCTGGTGAAGGCGCAGAGGCGGTGCCCTCCTCTCCAGTTGTTGCACCTCGCAGAAGTGGGCAGGTGGATGGGGTGTGGCAAATGCAGCATAACGCCCTTCCCAGTCAGGTGGCCACCGAGAGGGACCTGCTGGCCTGGAGCCGCAGAGTGGTGGTCAATGAAGTGCTGCAGGGGATATTCAGGTGAGGAGGATGAAGGGAATTAGATTAGTTTTAAGGGGATTGCATAGAAAGATTTGATTTTAAAGCAAGGAGATCTTTTTTTTATAGGAATTTTAAATTCATAATGCTTTTTTAAATTTATTTTTAAGAGTTTCAGAGGAGTGCAGACAAGCCAAAGGTGACATTGAATGTTCTCTATACAACGCTGAGAGGAAGAAGAAACCAGTAACCTGTGCACCTAAGGTACGCTATTTTCTGCGTCACTATTGTTACATCAGAAATCGCACATGTGCTAATTCATTCCTGATATTTTGGGTTTCATAGAGCGATCTCTTGTCTTCACGCCTGCGCTCCCTGCGGCCCACGAAGAAAACTAATAAGCGCCATGCCTATCAAACCCGGTCAGCTCAAATCCGGCGTCCTGGAACCAGGCGTAGAAATCCCAGCAACCGACGTACCTCTAACAGCCAGATGGACTCGGAGAGTGATGGAGAAGTATGATTCACCTTGTTCTGCTTGATTTGTAAAGTTACCGTGCTATAAGGTCACTTAGTAAACAGGAATAAAATCAGAAACAAGTGCTAACTGTTAGCAGTCATTCATGTTATACTGAAGGTTTTGGATGTATTTTTGTTAGCAGGCAGAAGAACAGGCGGAGCATACCGATGCATCTTCAGATGGTGATGCTCGGTGGCAGAGTGAAAGCAGCTCCAGGTAAATAAACACACTGATCAAGGAGAATTTTCAAAATATAGTCCGATCACCTGCCTGACGATACCCCACTTTGATTCTCAGCGATTCCTCCAGTGAATATTCTGATTGGACAGCGGATGCTGGGATCAATTTGCAGCCGCCAAAGCGACCTACCAGGAGACCTGTACAGCCTCCAGATTACAGCAGCTCTGAGGAAGAAGAAGGAGATAACGAAGCCAAGGAGGCAAGGACGAGGGAAAAAGAGAAGAGGAAGAAGAAGTCCAAGGAGACCAAACAAGTGAGCCACCTGCAGCTGCAGTATTCACAGTAAAAGCACATTTTGCTAGTTGTCACACAACATGGCACGAGTATGTACTTTAACATGTAGTAAATCATATACACTCAGAAACCCACATCCTCTCTGGGTGGACTTGATGCGGAAGAGTGGCTGCCGCCATCTTGGATTATGGAGACTGTCCCCCGCCGCTCTCCTTTTGTTCCACAAATGGGAGATGAAGTAAGGACTGACGCTCCTAATATCAAACAGGAAATACATGTTACATCACACTTTTTAAAATCATGATTCTCTTGTCCTCCTCCAGCTCATCTACTTCAAACAGGGCCATCAGGCTTACGTCCGGGCTGTTCGCAGAGCTAAGGCTTACAGCATCAACCCTCAGAAGCAGCCGTGGAACAGACTCAACCTCAGGGTGAGGCACAGTTTTATATAATAGCAAGTGCTGTGTATCGGCGCCGGCGTGCTCCATTAGTGCCCAAGCTGTTTGGAGAGTCTGAAAACGGCAGCCAATTTTTGTAACCACCTGAAAGCGGTAACCTGGTGGTCTCACTCACTTTGCACTGCTCTTAGACCTGAGCAAAAATTAGCAAACCTCTAAGCGCTCTGCTGAGTCCCCCTTCAACCCCACTAGTTCACCACAATCTGCTGCTGTTTTTGTAAATGAAAACAACTTGAATCTCTTAAAACACAATATACAGAATGCCACAGTAATCCTTCCTTATAGGCGTTTGTACAGCTGCATTGACCTCCTTTTCTCTTCTTCCGCCTCAGGATCAGGAATCTGTGAAAGTGGTTGGAATTAAGTATGAAGTGGGACCTCCTACCCTCTGCTGCCTAAAAGTGGCGTTCTTGGACCCAGTCTCAGGGAAAATGACCAATGAGTCTTTCTCCTTAAAGTGAGCATGAGCAATACTTGTATATTCAATGTAATAAATGACTGTGACCACATGTATTTGACCACTTTTTCATTCCCACACTCCCCAGGTATCATGACATGCCTGATGTCATTGATTTTCTGGTACTGCAGCAGTTTTACAACGAGGCTAAAGAGCACAACTGGCAACCTGGTTAGTCACTCCCCAGCAGTCTCCTTCCTGTATTTACTGCTCACGTAAAATTGTAAGGACTGTCCGTCACCTTAGTTTGATCCTCTGTTCAGGCATGAGGTTCCGCAGCATCATTGACGACGCCTGGTGGTTCGGCTCTGTGGAGGATCAAGAGCCCCTGCAGCCAGAGTATCCCGACAGCCTGTTTCAGTGCTACGCAGTAAAGTACGTCTGTGTGTGAGCAGAGCTCGCTGTAATTTTTTAATTTATTTTTTGCTGGCTTCATGTCACCTTCTCCACAGTAAAATCAGATAAGCATCTCTAATCTCATACGCAGCATGATCTAGTGGCATATTATCACATTTGTTTCATCAGATGGGATAACGGTGAGCGGGAGAAGATGAGTCCCTGGGATATGGAGCCTATTCCTGAGGAAGGTCGGTAATATTTATTGAAATGTGTGTATTATTTTGAAATATGGCGCTCTGTTACAGAAGATAAAAGACGCAGAAAAATGTCAAACATAATCGTACCCAATAAAAGTGAAATACTGCACATTATGGCATTTCTATTGAAAATAAACACATTAGATCTCATTCATCTAACAGCGGGGTAGAAACCCACAACAAAAACATCGTCTGCCCTTCATTTCCGTGTCCTTATTGGAATAACCATAGAAATGACAGGGTGACATTATACACACACTGTTCTGTTGAGTTGCATATAAATAATGCCAGCACCCACCTACACTCTTTACATATTGTTTCCTGCAGTCATTTGTTTTCTGTAGTTTGTTAATTAGGAGCCATGGCAGTTTTAACAGGTAGCGATCTAGACCGTACCTGAAAATTTGAAACCTCTCCAAAGTCCTTTTCAAATAGCATCATACTGACATCAAGTAGTTCATTCTGAATGACAGGCTCGTATAAATGGAAAATTTTACATTGCTTGTATTTCTTCTCGGTCAGCACAGATTTATTATCCCATTTTCTCTCAGTAGCAAAATGGTAACAAAATCTCTTGTCACTGTAACACTGTTTGTGTTTTTATTGAATTCTATTCCATTAATTTTAACCCAGAGAATTCTTTATAGCCGGCAGTGTAACTTTTAACTACCAAAAAAAAAGTATTTTACTTCTCTCTTTTTTTTTCTTGGTTACTAACTGCTGTTTAATGTCCTAACACTTTTGTGGCTCCATCAGCTGCTTTGCCAGAGCAGGTTGGTGATGGTGTGGAGGTGGCAGAAGAGGAGCTGAAAGCTCTACTCTATGAGCCTCAGGAAGGTGAATGGGGGGCTCATACACGAGATGAAGAATGTGAGCGAGTCATTCATGGCATCGATCAGCTTCTGACACTGGGTATGCCTCCCAAAAGGGTTGATGAAGCTTTGCGGTAAAGTACAATCTGACCTTGTTTTCCTGACCTTTGCTAGGTTTGATTTTATTCGTGTTTGTTCCCCAGATGTAGCAAAGGCGTTCGCATTACCGGTAAATTTGCAGGACTACCCTCTGTACTGCACCGTAGTGGCTTACCCCACTGACCTCAGCTCCATCCGCACACGTCTGGAGAATCGCTTTTACAGGTGAAGCATCATGCACTCATAAACCTTCTCTGTGAGTTCAAAGTCCTGGTGTGTTAACGTCTGAGTTTCAACCACTGATGCGTTCCTCTGCTCCAGGCGGATCTCTGCATTAATGTGGGAGGTGCGTTACATCGAACACAATGCCCGCACTTTCAATGAACCTCAAAGCCCCATTGTAGCAGCCGCCAAGGTGGTGACTGATGTTCTCCTTCACTATATCGGGTAAGACTTGACAGAGTTTCTGCTGTGTTAAATTCACCGATGCTTTAACAGTGGAGTGACCATGATGAAAACAGACATTTCTGATGCCTTGATCCCGCTGCCTCATTCAGGGACCAAAGTTGCATCGACGTCTTGGATCTGTATCGTAAACTGAAGTCTGAAGTCAGCAGTGAAGCTGAGGTGGGTGTTGCACAAGTGTTTCTGCGTTTGTGTGGTTTGTATTATTAGACTGACTATAGGATTCCTGCAGATCACTGAAAAAGTCAGTAGAAAAGAAAATGAGCTCTTTAACGTTTCATGTTTCCTACAAAATTACTTACTTTATTTTAGGATGTGATTTGAACCATTGCGCTAGAGATTAGCTTAGGAAGCCAACTGTATTTGTTATCCTGTAATCCATTAATGACCTGATGTAGACGTTGCCTTTGTCTCTTGCTTGGTTTGGAAATGAAAAGGAAACATAGGCTATCCCAGCTGGAGATCACTGTATCACATTCACATGTCCCAAAAAGCAAATGGAAACATGGATTTTTATGTGGGGTTTTTTTTTTTTTCTTTTTTCTTTTTTTTTTGGCAGTTTGACTTGGACGTAGATTCAGACACTCCAGGAACATCTACAGGACACCGGGTAAGGCAGCAGTTGATATTTGGCAGGATTTTTAACCTCCCAGCTGTTGTCCCAGTGTCAGTGACTTTCATTTTGTCTCTGCCAGGGAGGCACTGCAAATTCTAAGAAGCGTGGTGTGGTTCTGGATCCGAAAGCCTGGCGAGGTCAATGTCGAGAGCTGTTGCGTCGAATGACAGCTTCCACGAATTCCGAACCTTTCAGGCAGCCTGTGGATCTCTTTGAATATCCGGTAAAACAATCAGCATAAACCTCCATTTGAAATAAAACCACACATGCCAGACACTTTTTACAGCTTAAAGTAGCATTTGCAGTGCATGCTGCAAGTGTAAAACTAGAAGTTGCATTCAGGTGAATCACTGTGTTCTTCAGTGTTTCTGCTCTCTTTTTTTCGTTCAGGACTATCGAGACATCATTGACACTCCCATGGATCTGGGTACAGTGTCAGAGACACTGGCAGTAGGAAATTATGAAAATCCGATGGAGTTTGCCAAAGACATCCGCCTCATTTTCAGCAACTCTAAAGCATACACTCCGAACAAGAAGTCACAGGTGAGTAGCTCACTGAGAAATAAAACATTCTGTAAAAAATGCTGTTGTTATAGGTGCAGTCTGAGAAAGCTTTGGTTTAGCGTTTACTTATCACGTTCTTTTATTTCTAGATCTATACCATGACCCTCAGCTTGTCGGCCTTCTTTGAAAAACACATCATCTCCATCATTTCTGACTACAAGTCTGCCATTCAGAACGAACGGCGGGCTCGACAACATCTCACTTACAGGAACAGATTGCACAACGGAGGCAGCTCGCCACCTAATAGTCCATCCCACAGGTACACGGCCACATTCACAAACCTAGACGCACCGTGTTATCAGATTATATTTTTCACTCGGGCCCATCAAAGTGTCTGCAGCTTCTGAAAGCATCTCAGAAGTGCCGTACTGAAATAAAGAAATGTTTTCTCTTTAATATCATTTCAAGGTGTCGTGGTTGGAAAAACGATTCCAGAAACTGCTGAAAGTTGCAGGCAGCCTGTCGTTGTTTATATTTATTATTGTGTTGTTAACAATAATTCTGAACTGTTGCTTCTTTCTTGTTCCCCTCTCCTGCCCAGCTCAAAAGGAAAGCACAAGTCAGGGAAGGCATCAAAGCAAAAAAAATCCCAGACCTCAACAAAGAATCGTTCTCAGAGATCACATAAAGGTACGTCTCCACTGTTGTGGCTTTCTGTGCTCCAGAGATCCTTCTGCTGCGTAGACTCATGCAGTGAGCTACTCTTAGAGTTGGTTAAAGTAATAGCTCTTACTCTTCAAAAACCAGAATGACCTCAGTTTGGTTTTAATCCAATGAAAAGCTGCAGAGGTTGTTTGTATCAAAACTTAACAGATGTTTGTTTCCTGTGAATCAAAGCGTAACATCAGTGTCATTTTTCTTTTTTTCAGCTTTTACAGTACGTACAGATGGCTCATTAAAAGTGTCAATAAACAACTTATTATATAGTAGCAGGGGCAGTATGACTGAACATTTATATACCAGTATTTTAGAAGCCTTTCATGACACATCACCTTTAAAAAATAATAATTATAATAACACACATTTTTTTCATAATTGTGTCTTCACATAGCTTTACAGTGACTCGTTCTTCAGGACTGGATAGGATGTAGAAACATAAATGTCTTGATAAACTAAAAAATTACACAACTGAAACAAAACATAATCTTTCAACAAAACTGGCATGTGTGGAACAAGGAGCTGCCTGTTCCACTCTGAGGTCACACGTAATGACGCTGAAGTCAATATAAGGCTTCTTACTGTTGATGCTTCCTGCAGCAGAGCTGGGAAGTGCAGCTTTGAAACAAACTCTGTTTGCACTTTTCCTTCCAAACTTTGTGGCACAAATTATTCATTTGGAAAGACGTCAGTTAGTCTTGAGTAACGCATTAAGCAAAAGTTGATGTGACGCAAAAAGCAATTCTCTCCTTTTTTTTCTTCTTTTTTCCCCCAAGGCCAAAAATGCTCCAAACAGCAGATTCTGCCCTCTTTTCTTTATCCTGCATCACTTTTTACTGTTGTTGGAAGTGGTGACTGTTTGCTGTTAGTTATGCTATGCTAAAAACAATTTCCGTTTCTGCTAGAATGTTTGTTTCCCCCAATTAAGAGAGTTAAAAATTGTCATTTTAAATCAAATTCTGCATCATAAAACTGTAACGATTAATACAGGCACATCTCAACAGAGGTAACACGCTACACAGCGCAAGAAAAGCTGACCAAAGGTGCATATTGAGAATCCCGTCTTTTAGAAATGTCTGGAAAATTTAGTTTATCGAACAAACTGCAAACAAACAGTGAGTGGTTCTGCCCCAAATCTTTGTCCAGCAAACATCAACTGTAAGGGGAAAGCCATACTCAGCATGGCCATGCAAGCCTAGAGGTGTCAGTCAGCCAATAAAATCTCCCGTCTGAGTGATGCAGGCAACTTTTCCCACCTTTAGCATGTGGTGGTGACGCTGTGTGGATACTGATCAATCTAAGGTTTTGTGTAAACTTGGCTTTTAGTTTTAGGAACATGCTACAAGCCAGTATTTATCTATTTATATCGTCACTAAATCTGTAGCAGGTCAGCAAATCATGGAAAATAAACCAGGATAGAAGAATTAATGAAATATCCGTGTTAATCAAGGAGTTTTGAAAGCTTGGGGACATGAAAAAAGGAAAATATGAAAACGCTACCAAACAAAAGACAAAAAAATCAGTTTTCAGAGAAACTGAAGAGAAATGGTAGGAATGGCAAACAAAGTATATTTTCCCACTTATAAAACAGGTCACATTTCAATTTGTCCATTTGGCTCTACTTTGTTTAGTGTTAGTTAGCTAATATCGAGGTTAGCATAACAACAAAATGGTGAATATAACAAATGACATTCAGGCTCTCTGCATTATTTTTGATGGTGTTACCTGACTTACATACATTCACCCCTGCTAAAAGCTTCTAGTATCTTCTAATAGAGCAGGGCGATATGACCAAAAATATTTATCACAATATACATTTGAAATTTTGCGATAACGATATAACTGACGATATAATTGACACTAGACAAAATACTTTACAACTCCACAACTTTATTAGTGCAAAAAACCCAATCAATGTATTTTCACTTAAACAAGCAGCTGTTTTTATGTGCATTAAAGTTATATGAAAATGTAACAGTGCAAATTCCTTGCTGACAGTTTAACCAAAAGGCATTTCCAGTGGAAATTGGCCGACATATCCTCAGCATAACCATGTATAATATCCACAAAACTTAAAAAGAGGTTATACACACAATACGGTAATATTATCACTCCGCGGGGCGCCTAACTACGACAGCCGTAATGCTCCGACAATCCATCAAGCGGTGCGGGTTCGTAGCTTAGCAAAGTCGTACTAAAACATTTGACAGATTTTCGAGCGCCGTGTACCACATAAAATCGTTTCGAGGTCAGTAAACACAACCAGAATTCATACATAAGGCACACGGGGGTATAAGGGGCACTGTCGATTTTCAGAAAAATCAAAGGATTGATTTTAAGTGTGCCGTATTTTCCAAACAACATGGTAATAACAACGGTCTGCTGGCATGCTCTACCAAAAATAGTGCTTTGTTGTGTATCTGACGGACGAAAGCTAAACCAGTTCCACACCACTGAAGTTGCAGCATTTTTACAAACCAATTCTGGTTCATCGTTTCATTCAACGATCCCCTTTCGCTCTTCTCATTCTGCGTCGCCGCCATGTGCGTATGTAAACATAAGCACTGCGCATGCGCGTTTTACCCATATTCTATTGTGATATTTCATTTTCCTATTGTTGCCCAAAATTACACCGGTATTACTGTGAACGGTATGATATAGCCCAGCCCTATCTTCTAATGTGATTAGTTGCTTCTGTACTCTCAGCTTTTCTGATGGATAATTGCATTGTGTCTTTCTTTTTTTTTTTTCTTTAGCTCAGCAAAGCGGTAGTGTAGCAGAGGAAGAGGACGTCCAGCCTTCTTCCCCAACTTCAGGGACGAGTGTCAGGAGCAGAAATCAAGGACCACATCGGGTGACCCGCAGCCAAGCAACTCCCGTGAAGAAATCCGGTATTGCGAGCAGTAACTAAAAAGCATGCACGTTTTCCCTTTTCAGTGTTTCTGCAAAGTTACGGTGCAGAAATGACCCGCCGCCCTCTTGTTTTCCATCAGGTCACCAGAATAACTTGCACCTAAGTAACGGCTCCAGACAGCGGCACTTGCGAGAAACGTCGCAGTCCGACGATGAAGAGGAGGCGTCAGGATCCAACAGCTCCTCGTTGGAGTCGTCCTCCACCTCGTCGTCATCATCCTCCTCCTCATCCTCCTCCTCCTCCTCATCGTCTGACAGCGACAACAGCTCTGACTCTGAGGTGGAAAAGTACGTGGAGGGAGGAGGAGATCACGACTACAGCAAAGCCCCCTGCCTGTCAGTACGCCTCTCAGCTAAGGGTAAGGTGGCAGCCTCAGGAAAGAGGAGACACAAAGGAGGAGAGGACACAGAGGCACAGGGACCTAAACGAGCACGACTGCAGCTTGAGGTAGAGGAGCAGGAGGATGATGAGGAGGAGGAAGAGGAGGAGGAGGAAGAGGCAGAGGAGGATGAGGAAGAAGAAGAAGAGGAGGAGGAGGAGGAAGAGAAGGAGCAGCAGCAACAGGTGGATTTAAAACATGAGGAGGAAGAAGAGGAGGAGGAGGAGGAGGAAGAAGAAGAGGAGGAGGAGGAAGAAGAGGAAGAGGAGGAGCCAGAGGACGAGGATGATAACAACTCTGAGGTGCAGACACGAGCAGCAGCAGCTCCAGCAGCAGCTAGCAGCCAGAGAGGCAGCCAATGTAAGTCTCGGCGGGTCAACACACGAAACCAGGGCCGCAGGACAGTTCGATACGGAGACGACTCGGAGGATGATGGCCATGGGTCGAAAGACGACCCTCTAAACCTGGGCATGTCCCGCTCAGGACGAGTACGCCGTATGACTGAGAAAGCCCGTGTCAGCCACCTTATGGGCTGGAGTCACTGACACGTCGCCCCTCACCCATCCCCTTTTTTCCAAACCTCAATGAAAGAACGGTAAAACATGAGTAACACATCAGGGATTATTCTTTTTCTTTTTATACAAATTTGTGTGTGTGTGTGTATATATAATATATAAATATGATTTCTCTTTTTATCTAAAGACTGATTATGACTCAAACTGATAGCCGGTGCTCATAAAATGTTGCCACGGATTTTTTTTTTTCTTCCCTGGTCAACAGAGCTTCTGTTCAACACGGACCCTCTCCAACTGGATTAACTCACCTCGGCCTTACTGCTTCTCTGGAAGAGCCCTTACGACACGGCTCTGGTCTTCTTCCTCCTCATCCTGTGGTTTCATGTCCAGAACTTTAAACACTATATAAAGTCCCCTTCTTCCTTCCAGCAACCTTTCTTGCTCCTGGTCACCAAAGAAGGATGTGGAGATGCCAAAAAAAATGGTGCTCGTATAGATATCTGTAGTTTTGTTTTGTTTAATTTTATTTCTTTTTCACTGAGTAAATCAACAAAACTGCTGTGGTAGTGGTCACAGCCACAGGTGCAGAATCACTTAAGGTATCTGATGTCAACCTTTCTCGTTTGCAGCACAAACTTCCATCTGATTGTGCTCTCCTCAACTGAGGACTAGCAATATTAGGAAGAAGTGGGTAAAATAAAATGGCAACACGCTCTTACCCCAGGGCATAAAATACTGCTGTTGTTCTTGGCTTTGTACAGATGTTGTCTTGAGATGGGGTTATGTCACATTTGGGTGCTTCATTGTATTTCAATTTTTACTTGCTGGTGAGATTTGAACACCAAAAACTGCTTGGTTAGGAAAAAGATTGTTGTTTACACCTGCTTGTTGAAGAAGAAAAGTTTACCTGCTGTGTTTAAATGCGACTCCAAGCGGTCCATAAGACCCAAACTGTTTTGTATTTGAGTGGTAGACTGGTTTCCATAACCCATCACTACACTGTCTCCACCTCTTTGCATTTCTTTGAGACACTGGTGGTTTTGACACAACAGCAGTATTTGACGCCCTGGGAGCAGACGGAGAATAGATTACCATAGTAATATTATCCCTTTCAATGTCCTTGGTCTGTGAATGTGAAAGGAAATGTCTTTCCCCAGCTTCTTCTCGCTTGGGTCTTCTCTTCAGCACTGTTATTTAGATAGAGTTGGGTGCTGTTTTTAAAGGGTAAAAGTGGTGTATTCTTTCTTTCGGGGGTAACAAAGCCACTGTTTTTAGTGCTATTGTACTCTGAGTGATCAGACCTGCAAATATTCATGGTTATTTCCGCAGCTCCTTCTCTACCCAGCCTGTGCAAAAGCAAAGGAATCCCCTGGCCAGCTCTCTTCCACAGAAATATTTATTTTTCCATTGCATTATACTCGGGTTACTTTATCTATTTCATACTTTATTAGTGATGAGGAAAAAGGAAATATTTGCACATTTATCTCCTCCATGTGGCAGCTGAGTAATAAAGATATTAGAGAAATAAGATGAAACCTCATTTTTGTGTAAGAATGTTTGAACTGTGCCG